GTGGTTGCGATGTAGGATAGCAGCGAGGAGGCCGCGTCGAGGGGCGCGAGTGGTTGGGAGAGGATGTGTTTTGCGGAGAGGGAGGCGAGGTCGCGGACTTCGTCGTCGTCGTCATTGAGGGCGTCGTAGAGGGCTATGAGGGCGGGGAGGAGGGGTGCTTCTGCTGCTTGGTCTTGGTCTGCGGTGGTTGAAGAGGTTGAGGTTGTTGCGGAGAAGAAGGAGGCGAGAGAGGCTGCTGCAGCGATGCGGGTGTCAAAGGGGCGGGAGTCGTGGAGGGCCGAGGACGTCAAGTTGCCCCAGCCGCGGAGGGAGTGCGCGGTGGATAGGGAGGCGGGGGATTGGGAGACGAGGGATGCCATGATGGGGCCACTGGCGCGGGTGATTGCGTTGGAGAGGTTTGGGTTGATTGTTCGAGCTAGGAGGTCTTGCCAGAGCTGTGTGAGGGTCTCGGTAGAGGGAAGGAGGTTTGAGGGTTGTTGAGAGCTGGCATCGGTATCGGGCTCGCGGGAGGTTGCTGTCAGGACGAGGTCGAGGACCTCTGCGAGATTGACGAGAGCGGCGGCGCAGGAGTCTGGGTGCGTTGCGGAGCGGGCCACGTCGGTGTACAACGCGGCGTAGGATGCTGCGTCCGCGGGGGACAGGCGCGGGTGGTGGACTGAGGCGAGGGTTTCGAGGGTTGTGATTGTTGTCTCTACGCTTGTTGTGCTCGTTGAGAGGAGGGTCTCGCGGAGGGAGGCGAAGGGGGAGGAGGAGGAGGTTTGGGCAGCGTGGACTGCTGCGATAGCGAGTTGAGTGCGGAGGAGGGCGCTTTGTGGGGATTGTGAGATGGTGGAGGAGGCAGCGCTCTGCGATGACGAAGACAATGACGGGTAAGAGAGGGTGAAGAGGGAGATGAGGTTTTGAACTTCCAGGTAAGCGGCACGGATGTCTGGACAGGAGGCGAAGGAGTCGGACGCGCTGGCTTCGAGGCCGTTGAGGATCGAAATCACGCGCGGGAGGCCAGACGACAGCCTCTGGGGCGAGACGTCGGAGAGCCGCTCAAAGACCGCCTTGACGGTCAGCAAGCCGCCGTGGAAATGGTTGTTCCTGCTCGCGGGCGCTGCGGCGAGGGAGTCCTTGATGATGGCCTCGGCAAGACTGACCCAATCGTCATCCTTGAGGAGGAACGAACACAGCGCGCGGGCAGCCATCTCCCGAACGTGCCAGACGGGACTGGCGAGGTAGCCTGCGACGAGACCGTACAGCTCGTCGCGAGAGGCGTCGGGGGGTCCGGCACGGCGGATGATGTCGAGGGCCGGGAAGACAGACTCGGCAGCGATGGTGCTGCCGAGCGTCGTGGGTTTCATGACCTCGCGGCCGGAGCGGAGGAGGTTCAATAACACAGAGGGCAGGATGGGGAACTTGTGGTACTGCAGGCGGGTTGTGCGGCCGTCCCAGCCGGCCTCGAGGGTGGCTTTACTCTCGTTTGTTCCAAAAAGGTTGTCGAGGAGGGAGCGGAGGAAGAGGAGGCCGCAGTTGCGAATACCCCAGACCTCGGACTTGAGGCTGCCGGCGGCGAGGTCGAGGCACTGTGGGATGTGGGGCGCCGACTTGCCGAGCTGGGTGATGAAGGAGCTCTTGAACATGTCCTTGAGGCAGTTGAGGGCGTGGACCTGGGGCAGCTTGGAGCCGTCCGACTCGGAGTTGAAGGCGGGTTTGCGGGCGATGGCGACGAGCTCCTCAATGACGACGTCAAAGGAGGGCTGCGGCGCGTTGGCGGAAACGATGCCGGTGATCATGGCGGGGATGCCGGCGGAGCGGCGGGTGGTGGAGGCTTGGGAAAAGATGCATTCCTTGGTTCCCCTGTACCAGACGTCGAGCAGTGTCTCGCCGTTCTCGTGGCCTGCTTGAGGGTCGTCGAGGTGCTTGACCAGCTGGCAGCAGGTTGCGAACGACAGCGAGACAGTGTTGAAGGCACCGCGGTGTCTGAGGCTCGACAGCTGGTCAAAGGTCAAGGATCCGACGGTTGTAAAGAGGTCGGTCGAGGGGCGCAGAATTCCTTCCTTGGCCTTGGACTTCAGAGGCAGGACCATGACACGCATCAGAGCACTAGACAATATGTTAGACGAGATACACAGCGATGTGGAGACTGTCGATAAGTTACCTGGACTCGTGGATGGCGCGGAAGCTGTAGCTCAGCAGGTCCTTGGTGTCAAGACCCTCGAGATCTTCCAGCTCCTGGGGCAAGTGGCCCTCGGGTGAGTCGTCGCACAGAATGTCCCTGACCGCAGCCCAGATGCGTTGGCAACACTTGACAATGCGGTTCTGAAGGGTAGCCATGGCTTCCATCTCGGACGCCGTAAAGCTCATGTCAGCCGCAGCTTGCCAGATATACCTAGTTCTTGGTCAGTTCATAGCCCCTCTCCAGAGTTATAGCACGCGTTGCACCTACCGGAGAGAAGCAAAGTAACCATGCACTGGCGCCTCAAGAACGGCATTGCCCAGATCGGCCTCTGCAAAGGCAAGCTTGCCCTCCAGAAGATCCATCAATTTGGAAATATGCGCAATCTGCGTCTCCCTACCGTCGTAGAATCTAAAGAGAAGTTCGTTTGTTCGAGCGACGCCATCAGCGTGATCAGCTCGCGCCGTCTTCCGCGCAATATCCTCGGCTCTCGACAAGAACTCTTCCAGTGTTGACGAGACCCCCTGTGCGCCAACGAGACACTTGAAGCGCTTGTCGGCGAACAAGTTCTTGAGGACAGACGTACCGTTTTCCCGAACGTCGTCGAATGGGTCCATAATGAGGTCAAGGAGCGCGCGCGTCCACTTCCCATCAAATAGGCTGAAGAAGAGAGTCTCGTCCTCCTCCGTTTCCCACGTCTTGCCAGCATCAGCTTCGAGCTTGAGGATGAAGGCAACGGCCCTCAACGCGGTAAAGTGACGCTGGAAAGAAGCCGTGGGGATCAGCTCAGACCGCAAAAAGGCAATATACCACGCCAAGAAGTCTTCGTGCTGCTTCAAGCTCGTCCGCAGCTTGTCCTCTGGCCAGAGCAAGATGTTGGTGCGGTGGTTCGCCTGCTTCGGCGGCGCTTTGGGGGCCTTTGGCGCACTGTTGGCGGCACCATCAAAGGCTTTAAGACGGGCCAGACTCTTGTGCAGGATGAAGATCGCGCCTCTGCTGCGCTTGAACATATCTTTGAGCTTGCTCAGCAATTCCATGCGGAACTTTGCGTCCGACTCTGAAAAGTACGTGGGGAGATGAGCTTGCAGCAGGCGGAGGGCCACTGGCGAGTAAGGCCTCGTCGTCGAAGGGGAGGCGACGATGAGGGACAGTGCCAGCGAGCGGAGCTCATGGGAGGGGTGTGACAGGACTCTCTCGAGCAGGGTCTCTTCCAAGACTACTGCTGAAGATGATTCCTCTCTGTAAATGGCGCCGGGCTCTTCGACCATGCCTACCTTTTTGCCGACTTCCAATACGGCGAGGTTCAGCTGGGCCAAGGTGTCTAGCTCAGCCACGGCCGAGCCAGAGGTAGACCATATGCTATTGATCTGTTCCAAAATCTGGACCGAGTCTTTGCGGTCATCCTTGAACAACGGAAGGAAAACATATGTCTTGATACCCTCAAGCAAAGACGGCGTCTTGGCAATGGCAGCCTGTACCCAGCGAAGCCACATTTCAACGCTGAACTGTTCAGCGCCTGCAGCCTGCGGTGTCTTTAAAGACTGCTGTCTCAGTGCCCTGAAGATGGTCACGATGAACTTGCCCGTAGTCGGACACACGTAGTGCATGGTCATCCAGTCGAGCATCTGGCCGAAAAAGTCCTCCCACAGTGCAATGTCAGACGCCCAACTGCACTCGGGCTGCGTCCGTCTATAGCTCGCCGCGATATCGTCGACGCTAAAGACGGACTTGCCTGCAAAGTAGTCCATGGCCTTGAGCGACGACTTGACCAATGGCTTGGTGGACTGCGGCCCAATGATGGAGATGAGGGTGTCCAAGATGGTCGTCTTGACTAGGTCAGAGACGACCTGGTCGGGGTTACGACGGATAAGCGAGGGAAGCAGATCCAGGACCAGCTTCATGGACCGGTGCTGCTCCGTCTCATTCCACTTGATGAAGAAGTTGAAGAGGCCCAGGCTGGGCTCTTTTGAGAAAGCCCATTGCCGCAGGGTTGTCTTGTCGGACTTTGAGCTTTGCTCGACAAAGCCGCAGAGCTTCACGCATGAGTTGCCTGAGACTCCCTTTGGCTGGGCAGCCAGGGAGAGGAGGTGATCAAAAACATTTTGCGCGATGCTATGGGCAGAAATGATGTCAACACAGGTACTACTACACTGGTAACACTCATTCTGGAGGGGTATTGATTGGGGGGAAAGTCTTACGAAATCCAGGATTCTTCGGGCTGTTCCTCAACCCATTTGAGCAGGTCACTCGGGTTGACGAAGCTCTCATACTGGGGGACGGTATCCTGCTTCATCGCTATCTCATAATTGGTGAACCCGGCGAGTGACTCTGGGAGTAGAATGAGGGGCACCGAGGGGCAATGGCGAAGCGAATGAGTGCTGGCCGAGTGAGTAACAGGGGTGTGTTTTTTCTTTCTTTCGTCTGTCGTCTACAACTCGGCGTGTAAGTATCGGAAATAAGTGCACTCAATTTTCTGGTATGCTCCAGATCTTACATAAGACTCTCCGGTTTGGGAAGGCCTCGTCGGTGAAGGTACTATGTATCGAGCATGGGGAAAATGTAGGTAGGTACCACGAGTTTTCACAGCATGAACTCGGCGCTCCGGCGAAGACTCATCGCGGGGCACCAAAGCGCCAGGGTCCCGACTGACCTTTTTTTTTTTGTTTTTTTTTTGCTCTGTCCCACCTCCCAGTCAGTGACATTCAGCCAATCGCCTGCATCTTCTGGAACGTCGCGCGCACGGGCCATCTCACCCACACACGGTGGTGTGGCCAAACTTTTTCCCTGCCCTAATTGAAAAAGAATAAGGCGCCCCGCCGAAATTTGTCCCTGGCTGTTTCTCTTTCCCCTTCAACCCCATCATCATCCAACATCTACCGTAAGCACCAGATTACTGGGAGATATCGCCAAGATGTCGAAAATTACGGTTGCCAACGTCCGCACTCAGGTCTCTGAGCTGCTCGAGTACTCTCTCGAGACCAAGAAGCGCAACTTCCTTGTCAGTCTACCCCTCCGTCGTTCAATTGAGCGCAAAGTCCGCGACCGAAGCGAATCAAGAAGCAAAAGCTAATACCCTCACAGGAGTCTGTCGAGCTTCAGATCGGCCTCAAGAACTATGACCCCCAGCGTGACAAGCGTTTCTCCGGCACCGTCCGCCTGCCGGTCGTCCCCCGCCCCAACATGAGCATCTGCATTCTCGGTGACCAGCACGATATCGATCGTGCCAAGCACGGTGGTGTTGACGCCATGTCCGCCGACGACTTGAAGAAGCTCAACAAGAACAAGAAGCTCATCAAGAAGCTCGCTCGCAAGTACGACGCCTTCGTCGCTTCCGAGACCTTGATCAAGCAGATCCCCCGTCTCTTGGGTCCCGGTCTGTCCAAGGGTATGTTCCACCACTCCCCTCCCCTCACCCTACTTTGGACTTGAACTCGTATCTAATAATCTCGCAGCCGGCAAGTTCCCCACCCCCGTCTCCCACGCCGACGATCTCTCTGGCAAGATCACCGAGGTCAAGTCCACCATCAAGTTCCAGCTGAAGAAGGTTCTCTGCATGGGTGTCGCCGTCGGCAACGTCGGCATGACCCAGGAGCAGCTGATTGCCAACATCATGTTGGCCATCAACTACCTCGTCTCCCTGCTGAAGAAGGGCTGGCAGAACGTTGGAAGCTTGACCATCAAGGCTTCCATGTCTCCCCCCAAGCGCCTCTACTAAGCGCGCCCTCTTGTCGTGTTGGTGTTTCTTGCGAGGGGCCTGTACTAGGTAGAGTATCGCCCGGGTTAGTTATGTCGATGGCTTAAGTGCTTGTTCGCATAGCAATCTACTCAAGGGTGGGAATACACCTGTCACGGGTATTTCATAGGAAGCTCTGCGCATGGATTAGGAGCCTGCCAATACAAAACCATCCTTTTCCAAACCATCATACTTGTCTCAATTTGCATTAGTGAACCGTGACTTTTTAAAAATAAGTGCTTGATAACACGGGATTGCCAAGCCCCAGTCTAGGCCTGATTGCTAAATGCGGTGCCCAACCTGTGATCCCGTATACACAGTAGGGGCTCCTTGCCAAATAGCGAACCGATAAATCCCTAAAATCCTCCCTTACACACAACGCTCGGAGTGTAGGGGGAGGGACAAGCTCTGAAGGTAACGTTTTTCTGTTAGTGATGGTTCAAGAGAAGAGTGCTTGAAAACACAGGGTTGCCAAGCCCCATTTTCGGCCTGGTTGCTCGCAGCGGTCGACGATACGCGTGGTGTTGCAAAAGATCCGACAGGCAATGCTAACCGTTAAAGTCGTCGAGAAGAGAGAAGTTGATAAAAACGGGGGCTGTTCAAAGTCAAACACGGTCCCCAATCAAGTCGCCAAACTCAATCTGCGGCGCGAGGATGGAAGCAGCGCCCTTGGCAGCCCTGTCGGCCTCGTGGTTGAACTTGCGCGGAATCCACCAGAAGCGGACACTGACGTCGCGGTCGTGGAGCCTCTCGACGTTGAGCAGGAGGGCCTCCCACAGGTCCCGATTCTTGACGTTCTCGCCGGTACTCAGCCGCCATCCCTTCTTGACCCACGCGCGCGCCCAGTCCGTGGCGCCGTTGACGACGTACGTCGAGTCCGTGGCGATGACGATACTCCGGAACCCTTCGCCGGACCAGGCCCGGTACCGGAGCGCCGCGACGGCCGCGCGCAGCTCGGCGCGGTTGCTCGTGTGGCGGTACGTCTTGCCGTCCGGCCCCTGGTCCTCGAGCTTGAAGGCCACGCGGCCGCTCTGGTCGTTTGCGTACACCGGCTTGAAGATGAAGGCGGAGCCCCCGCGCGCGGCGCCGTTGCCGTTGCCGAAGCAGGCGCCGTCGGTGTAGATTAGGGCCTCGGAGGTGTCGTAGCGGTTGATGAAGCGGAGGACGGGGGGCACGAGCTTCATGCAGCGGCCCGGTGGGAAGAGCTCCTCGGGCGAGAGGGGCGTCTTCTTCTTGCGCTGGCCAAATTTGGTGGGGAACAGGGTGCCGGAGAACTGCATTCTCTCGCCGAGAGGGTTGGATGCCGTCCGCTGGAAAATGGGGGCGGGCTGCTTCGGAGCCTCGGGGTCGGCAAACTTGATCGTAAAGGCATTCGAGGGCCGAGAAGCACCGATGAAGAGATGCTTTGACTCCCTAGGCGGCGTACCGTCCACGAGGGGCGGCATATCATCGTAGTCTTCGTCCTCATCTTCGTCCAGGTTTTCGACCCAAGTAGGCCGGAAGCGGGAGGGGGCTGAAGGTCCTCGAGGTCCGCTCGCAGCACTTTGCCCAAGACGGCCGTAACGGCTGTACGCAACCTGGTTGGCGCTGACATCTCTAGGTACGTGAGAGTTGAAGTCGAAGCCAAAGGGTTCGTCGTCATCGTTCTCCTCATCCTCGTCCAAGTAATCTTCGTCGTCCTCCTCCAGTTCGAGGCTAAAGTCGAGACAGCATTTTCCGCAGGTAACCATTTTGTGAGGGAGGCAAACGGTGATGATTCGCCCATTGGGCATAATCATGCGATCAATCTCTGGCCACGCCATTGTTGCAATGCAATCAACCCCCTGGGCTGAAGATGGAGAAAAGGTGGAAAGCTAGGAAGGTTGAGCTCGGAGCTCTCGTTTCATCTCGGGAGAACTGGGCGGGGGCACGTTTAATGAAACCCCACCGATCTTCCCTGTCAAGTCAACAAATTAGTAGTAGCTTTCTGAACCTTATCATCTTGACCAGCTTGACCTCAGTTGCCTCAATGAACCCATTAGATATGGTCCGGGTAGACTGACTCATGGTATCCCTTCGGAAGTCTCGAGAGCATTACATTGGCCGACATCTACCTCGGCTCCAATAGGACTGACTTTCATCTATTCAGGGGAAATGGCGACATGGCCAGATGACAAAGAAGGAGAAAAGAAAGAAAAGAAAGCCCTCAAAGCTGTCAAGTTGTTTCAACCTTCCGCGCTGATTGGGCTAGGCTTCATTGCCTTGAGGATGTGTGAGAAGCTCCGATAAAGCTCATCGGCACCCTGCAGATTGGAGCTACCTTAGTGCAGCTACTTTGCGTACCTTAACTTTATGTGCCTTGCATCGAGGTTCGGTGGTCCCGCATTCTCCGCAGAGTCCTATGGAGATAGTGTCAAGCGCTTCAGCTATCATCACAAGACAGCCTCCGACTACTTCAAATCAGTAGGAACCACAACAATTCGTCCTGCACATGATGACACATGGATTGATTTATTTCAGCAGCATGGGTATATTGACAGTTTCAACAGAAAGCATGGAAACGAAAGTACATTGCAGTTGCAATTGATGGATTCAGCTGCATTCGCAAGCGGCGCACTCAAAACACCCAACCACCACAAGGGATATCCATCCCCCAATAAGCCAATATATAGCCATGCCTAAAGCCAATTGAAAAACACCGCAACAACGAAGATGAAACTTTTTGTACACTCCCGCCCTCGATCAGTCGCTCTCGTCGACATCCATCGACTCCTGGGCGGCCCTCCCGCGCGTGCTCCGCGCCGACGTCCTCGTCGCCCTCGGAGCAGGCTTTTCTTTGGCTGCCGGTCGAGCTGGCAATTTAGTCTTTGCTGCCGCTTTTGATGCTGCTGCTGCCGACCTGCCCTTCCGTCCGTTAGATTTGGGCGGTGGGGTAGCTTCTTCCGGCTCTTCCTCGTCATCTGCTTCCACTTCCTCCTTCCCTGGTTCCTCTGCCGCAACGTCCTCAACCTCGGACAAAGGCGAGTCATCGCCGCTGTCGTCCGCAGCAGCTGTTGGCTTCTTGGCCCCCTCGCCGTTTTCTTCCTCTGGGGCTTCCGAGAGAACCGAGGAGTCATCATCGTCATCTGACACCTCCGTCTGTTCTCCATCTTCATTCTCGTACGTCCACTTGCTGACACCGTCCCACATCTCACGGTCGTCGTCGGATGAGTCGCGTTCGGTGTACTTGGATACAGCAGTGGTAGCAGCACGACCGCTTCGTCTCCGGTTTTCCAGGGGAATGTCAGATTCGCGACGCGGTGCCTTGACCTTCGCGGGCTTCTTGACCTTCTGCTTCTTCGGTTTTGGTTCTTTCGGTGCCTTGGGCTCCCTGACCCTCGGGGCTGACCTTGCCTTCTTAGCAGGATGGTGGTCTCCACGATCATCTGTAGACTTTCTCTTCTGTAATATTGTAAGCTTAGAGATCGGACAACATGGAAGACAGTTTCGGCTTACCTTCTTTCGATCGATTGATTTGAACAGACCGTCCAATTTCTCGTCAATCTCTGACGGCAGGTACTGCTTCTCGGCAATCTCCTGGGCGACCTGGTGAGAAGGCAAGGCAGTGTAGAGACCGATCGGCAAGCCGACCTTACCCGGGTACGCTTGGAAACTCCAGTTCTTCCTCTCCTGCCATTTCCTTACAACGGCCTGGGCCAAATCGCTGACAATGTAAAGATTTTCGCTCGCCTCCGGGCTGATCGCATCACGAGTCTGCTTCACTCTCTCGGCGTACTTATAGATGAGTCCCAGGTTCTCTTCCGTTGCCACATTCGTGAGATAGTACAGAATGTAACGGCCATGGTCCGCAAGATCACTGGCGTATGAGCTCAGCTCCTCCTCACTGGCATCATTGACATTCTCTGGCTTGTTGAAGTCGGGATGGTGAGACAGCAAAGAGATAAGTCGTCCCATGATCGCCTCCATAGGGTGCTGTTCATTCGCCCCCAGTGCGCGAGCCCGGGATCGGATCCAGGTCTCAACGCGCTGCTTCAGATCGTTATTCGGCTCGAATGCCGTCAAGAAGATGATGGTGTAGAAGCGAGCCCGAAGCTTGTTCTGCACCAGGTACTTTTGGAGCTTCTCGATGAAGCCCCGACGAACAGTCAATTCGGTGTCCTGCGCCGTAAACGCAAGACGGTTGAAATCGGCCGGTGTCAGGAAATCATCGAAATGCTTAATGGTGCATAGCTTCAGCAACAGCTGAGCTGCCAGCAGGCGAAGTCGTGACTTGTGATGATTGGGCGTATCCTTCGTCTTGCAGAGCTCTCCTCTCTTTGCGACCAATGTCTTGAGCAGCTTGAAGACAGGTACGGCCTTTTCTTTGGCCTCTTCGACATCGTCCATACTGCGCAGTCGGTTGACGAGAATATGCAATGACAGGCACTTCGCTTGCAATTCCTCATCCACGCTGGCGTCATCCACCCACTCGGGGTCTTTGTCTGTTGCGTCTGTTCGGACCTTGAGCAAAATTTGCTGCACCGTCATGTTGAGGATGTCATCATCTGAATCGAGGGTAATCTTGGGCACCTGCAATTCCAGCTGTGCGACAGACTGGAGCTTATTGAGGAAATGCGCTGAGCCGTAGGTCCAGTCTTCCATAATCTTCTCCAACAAGCTGGTTGCACTGACCAGACCTTTGTCGTCGCCCTTGGCTAGGAGAATCTTGATGGCATACTTGGCAGACTTCACAGGCCGTCCATACAGAGCGTAGCTAACGAGAGCCTGTGAAAACTTTCGGTCTTGAGGAATCTCTTCTGGGTACTTCTTCGAGTACGAAGCACAAGCTTTCAGGGTATCGACAACGTTGGAATCGTTCTCGTTAGTCTCTGTAGGAGCTTGCTCGACAAGACCCTTGCACAGCCCTCCCACGTGGGTCTTGAAAAGCTCAGGGTTGCGCTGTGAGATCTCGTTGAGAATTTCGTGAGATACGGAGCCCAGGCCGTCCTTGTCGTTCCTCGAGTAATCGAGGATCGTTGCAAGGTGACTTCGGTTGAACAGCAAGCAAGCCGACCTGTAGAGAAGTGGCAAAAGCGTATCCAGGATAGTCGCGTTCTGGCTTGCATTGGTGCGCTTGACCAGTTCCTTGATGGCTTGTCGAACCGTCTTGTAGTCGCTCTCGGCACTGACGGAGAATTTGACGAGCTGATAAGCGCGTCGGTCATTCGCATTGGCGAACTTCTGGAGATCGGTCTTCACTTTGAAGGAGTCTGGGAAGAACTGTGTGATGTACTGTACTGTCCTCTCCAGGTTCGCCGTAATCTTTGGACGGTTATCGTCTATCACGCCTCCGTTGTAGCTCTCGCACTGCTTGACGAAGGCTTCGAGGACCTGCGCAAATTGAGGTTGCCGACCTTGCATAGCCATGAAGGCTCTCTTGGCCGCTTGGTCCAGAGATTGAGTAAGGAGAAGGATTCTTTCCGCGCGAATGCGATCTTGATCAGCAACGCCCGCGTTCTGAGAGCTTTGAGACGCCCCTCTGGTGCTCTTTGGCGCCTTGATGGGAGGATAGGACAGAGGTACCAGGCACTCAAAGAGTACACGATCGAGAAGGATGTTGAGCTCAGAGTCGTTCGCATAGAAGGCGTTGAAAATGCGCGAAGGAATCCCAGACAGGGCGGCAACGACGCTCTCCTGCCCAGCAGCCAACTCACCCGATCCAACGGCCCAGAGTTTCGCGAGCAACGTCATTGCATCGACTCGAACAGCAGTGCGCTTGTCTCGACATCGGTCGGCAAGACTGCTAAGAACAGAACCGTCCTTATCCACGCCGCCTGGAGCAGCCAGCTTAGAGATGAAATCGCGGAAGCTGAAGAGCTCCATCACTTTCACGGCAGCCAACCGGACCTTTTCGTCTCCATCGTTGAGCTTCTCTCCGAGATGCTTCACTAACTCGGACTGTTCTTCGCGACTGAGACCAATCCCGCCTGCTGAGGTGGCCAGGATGTATCCGACAGCGTTCGTCCAGGCTGCTCGAATGGTCGCCGTCTTGTCATTTCTTCTGCCCAAGAAATGGTTGTATGCGGAAGAATGGGTTTGCGCAAAAGATTGGGGCGAGAGAGGTGTGGTGAGGACGCTATCGGAAATTTGACTGGGAGCCTCATCGGCCAAGCGCAAAGGGGGGTACTGAGCAGGATCCAACACGGGTGGCGGGGGCGGTCCAGCAGCACCAAGTCCGGAGATCATATCTCCAAGTGTTTCTGTGGCCAGCTGTCGAAGATCCACGTTATCGGCCGACAACTCTGCCTCGACCTGTGGTATGACATTTTGCAGAACAGATGGCGATGCGCGCCAGAGTTCTCGGATGAGATAGTGGGCCTTTCTCAGTTCCTTCAATTCTGCATCCGTGGGACCTCTGGGGGCATCCTCGTCCTCTTCATCTTCGTGCGATTTGCCAACCGTCTTCGCCGCGAATCGAGATGCGTCGAGAATGACATCGCTGAAGTACTGGCTTACGTAGTGTACCATCTTCTCGGTGCACACATTGCAGATCTCCTTCGCCATGATGTACGCAGGTGGCTCGTCCTTGGGCAGCAAGGTCGACTGGTTGCCGTTCTGCTCGCTACGTTCTGTGCGGCTCTGAAAACCGCCCGGGGGCGCTGCTCTAAGAAATTGGGCCATGATTACTTCAATGACCTTGGGGTTCATGCCAGACGCCTCGTCAACCAGGGCAATCAGCATTTCCGTCATGGTGTTGCCGACCTCCTTCGAGACACCTTCTTCGGGCCCTGAGTTCGAGCTTCCAGATACTCCATCGAAGAAGACTGAGAAGAGTTTCAGGAGCATGTCGTCGGCACCGTCGATGTCATTGATTAGGAGGATACTTTTGACGTCGGTCAGAGCTGTCAACACATATTTGTGCTGGCTGTGATAAGGGTGGGTTTGGTCGCTCAGCGAAGGGAACACGTGCGTAACGACCAGATTGAAGAACATCTGTTGAACTCATCAGTAAGAGCTCTGGGTAGCTCGAGATCAATGGCTTACCTTGGTCTGATCCGCGGTGAACGGCGCGTCAGGCGCACATAGGCGCAGAATGTCCGCGATGCACACGGCCGCGTACGCTCTGACGCCCTTATCCTTGTGGGCGAGCAGGTTGCGTTGGCCCAAAGCATAGGCAACATCATTGAGAGATTCAACCTCCGTAGTATCCTGATCCAGACCCCCAAGTTCCTCTGACAGAGCCTGCAGACGGTTGAGAAGCTCGGTTGTAGGGATGGGTTTTCCGGGCTTCCAAGTCAATTCTTCGTCGAATTGAAGGCT